GTTCTCCTTTTGTGTGTCCCCCCACGCAGGGTCAGGAGACATAGATGGACTTCCAAAAGTAAGTGAGTTGCAGAACCGGGTGTGCGGGTCCCCCTTTCCCTGGCACTGGGGTGCCGGCGTGACCCTGACGGATGGGGACACGCCAAGGGGATGTGAGCGGGGTCCTGCCCCCGCAACGTGTCAGGGGGCGCAGGGACCCGCTGACCACCTCCCCCCACGTCTCCTGCAGAATTCTCCAAACAACATAAGTGGCATTAGCAATCCCCCGGGCACTCCAAGAGACGACGGGGAGCTGGGAGGCAACTTTCTCCATTCCTTCCAAAATGACAATGTGAGTCAGTGCCTCCCTGGGGACAGGGGGGGACGGGGCGTCCCGGCAGGGGAGCGGGCGGGTGCCTGGGTTGTGCTGCGGGTGAGCTGCTCCGGGACAGAAAGTGGGGAGGCAGAATGCGTTGGTGGGTGCGAGGTCGGTGGGATGGGGCGTATCGAGGGAGGGGAGAAAACCCTGTGGGATGGCGGGGAGAGGGTCCCATGGGATGGAGGGAGAGGGTGCAGCTGGCCTCGCCGACTCGAGGCGCTCTGCGTGGCTGCAGGCACCCCTCCTCCCTCCGTTAGCAGCGTACACGTGCGTGCATGTTAATTATGTGTTTTAAACTGCATCTCACCCCATGCTCTTCTGCTGATTTTCTCCCTGGAAAAGCGAGTTACGGAGCAGGTTACGCCCCGATAAATTTGAGTCTCCGGCACATCCTCTCCTCCTGACGTATTCGATCCAATTAGGTTGCCGTATCGCTGTCACCGGCCTCCTTTGGCATCCCCCTTCGCTCCGGGGGTCTGGCCCACCTGGTTTCTCACCCTGGCTCTGTCTCTCTTCCAGTATTCCCCCAGCATGACGATGAGTGTGTGATTTCCCTCCCCCTCCTCCTCTCCAGGATCAAGAGAGTCAGCTGCCGTTCGGAGGATCTCAACGAATTATGCAAGAAGAAGAAGAAGAAGAAGCTAGGTGTATGGGCAGGGAGACGCGTGGCGGGGGCCAAAACCCCAGGTTTAGTTTCATGCAATAAAAAGGCTGAACTTTTTATTCCATAAAACATGAAGGACAAAACTTAAAATATTTCAAGACATGACAAGACCCTTCTTTGTGCAGAAGGGTTTATATATGTACATGACACTTCTTTTTGGAAACAAACGGAAGCCTCTAGCACCCAACTCCCATCTCTTTGCTTTGTTCTTTTAAATAAAGATGGAAACCGAACCTGTTGTATGTTTGTGCCGTGCGACACCAGGAAGCTAGTCTAGATCTGAACTCTCATGTTGTCTCTGTTGTAGTCATTTTTTTAAATAAACTGGACAGTTTACAATGGTGGTTTTCGTTCAGAAGGCCTGGTTGGTTTTTTTTTTTTTTGTTGGTTTGTTTTGCTTTTTCTTTTGGGTTCGTTGTTCTTTTTTTTTCCCCTTCTATTTTTGAGTTGGTTTTTGGTTTCGGGTTCGTTTGCAGCACAACGCTTCCTCCTCCAGTTAACAAGATCTGCTTTGGGGAAGAGACTCCACCACCGCGTTATAAACGTAACGCAGGTGACCCCTTCTAGGATCACATCCTCGAATGAATCGTGATCTTGCTCTCTGTGACTGTGGCATGCACTGTGTTAGTCTTTCCCCCCCCTCCCCGCCTACGAGAGGAAACCTCTGTCCCTCCCTTCCCCGGAGTCCTTCAGCTGGTGCACTGCAAAACTTGACCTTTTTTTTTTTTAATTTGGGGGTGGTTTTTTGGCTTTTAATCCACCGAAAGAAAGGGTTCATGCGGCCTGGGGCTTTGAAACTGCGATCTCCAGCTAACTTTGGGGTTTTGGGGCGGGTTGATTAGCTTTGGGGGTATTTGGCGGGGGGCGTGGGGGGGGAGCTCTTTTCTTTAGAGATGTGCTCTTGTCAGGGTTTCATTTACCTGTGATTTGGAACTGGATGGAGGTATTTTTTAAAGGAATTCTTGTTGTTCAAATGTAACCTCGCTCTTCTGTAGGCTCTGTAATAAGAAAATAAAAGTCAGTGGGAAGCATCGAGGGCCCTTCCTTCTGGCGGGAGAGGAAGGGACGAGCGGAGGCGGCGGGTTGGGATCTCTGTACATGACACTACCCTGTAGTTTGGTCTTTGTTTTTACTCCAGCTCCCATTTCTGCTCCATGTATATCATATTCTGTAAAATAATTCTCTCCCTTGGATTTGCCCTTTGTGCGGATTATTGAAAGCATTGTATCTTGTTTCAGTGTTTTTTCTTACCTTGTAGTCTGGTTCGAAAATTACCGAGAGGGGAAAAAAAAAAAAAAGAAAAAAAAAAGAAGTAATTATTATACATTGTAGTTTGTGTACGATATTTGTTGATAATGTTTTATTAAAGGGATGTCTTTTTTCCGCACCCCTTCATTGAAATGTTTTTGGGGAACATTCGGCTTGTTTTTATTATTCTGACTGCAAGACATGAGATGACAAAAGGTTGGGTTGGTTTTTTTTTAGTGCGTAATATGAATTTTTGAGGGTTTGGTTTTTTTCATGTTCGCCTTCTTTTTCCTAGGCATTTTAATTGTGCTTTACCGGTAGAAAGTCGCCGGGGAGGGAGGGGCGAGTGGGAGGGGGGTCTGAGGGTGTCAGTCTCATAGTTACAGTCAGGTTAATATTTTCCAAGTAACGCTGAGAAATAACCGAACGCAGATTCGCGGCCTCGCAAATAACACCTGGGGGCTCCCCGAGGGGTCAACTTTTTTCCGCTTTCCATCTTGGTCTCTTTTTATATCTTTTTTTTCTTTCTTTCTTTTTCCTTTTTGTTCTGACGTGAGGAAATGAAAGGACCGGTTTTAATGTATTTTAAAAACTGAATAGCTAAATTATTGTCTTCATTGGTATGGGATGGTTTTTTTGAATGAAACGGTTCTCCCCCTCTTCTCCCCCCCCCTCCCCCCAATGCTGTAATAAATATCAACATAAACATTTGATTCCGGTGCTCTGCAGTTTGTTCCTGGTCTTTGATGCCAGACCTGGGGGAGGGTTTGGGGGTTTTTTTTCCTACTTTTATTTTACAGAGGCCCAATCTCCCTGGTTTGGGATGCGGGAGCGGAGGTGATGCAGAGCGGAGAGGTGCCCTGCGCTGGGGGGGTCTGGCTGAGGCTGGGAAGTAGGACGGGTGCAGGACCCCGGGGGCTGGGAGAGGTTTGGTTTAACGATGCTCGCTTGCTTTTCGGATTTTTTTTTTTTAAAGCATTTTGAAAATTCAGCTTTTAGGTTAGGAAAACGGTCATTGTCCCTCTGCCAGGCTGAGGACAAGCTGTGCTGGACCCTCGCCCTCCCTGCACCCAGCCCACCTGGCTGCTGGCAGAGGGGGACTTTTGGGGGATAAAAAAGGGGGGATTTTTACTTTATTTTTGCACCCTGTCCCCCAGGATTTCCTCATTAGAGGCCGGAGGAGTTGGGATGCCGGCATGGCGCTGGAGGCTGGCATCCCATGCTGCAGGTTACGGATCAGGGATGCCTGGGAGAGGAGCTGGGTCTTGCTACCTCCCGTTGCCAAGTCCTGCACCTCTGGGAGGTAAGCGAGGGAGGGGAAGGGGTGCGAGGGTCACCTTAAAAAATCCGTATCTACACATACCCAGGCTGGCAGTGGGGGCTGCTGACCCCTCAGCAAGGGCGGCTGTGCTGCAGGGTGGGTCCCCCTTGCAGGATCCAACTTGGCTCCAGGCTCCGGGCTGCCGGCGATGGAAAAGCCCGGGCAGGGCTGAGCTGGTTCCCTGATGGGTGGCAGCGGAGGCTGCTGCAGCCCTTGGGGAAATGCTGGGACTTTTTAGGTGCCGAGGTGGGTGGTTGCAAGCGCTGAGTGCCTGGAACGTTCCCAGGAGCTGCTGCCGGAGCCTTGTTCTCCACTGCTGACTAGTTCGGGCAGGACGCAGCTGGCTGCAATTGTGCGGCTTCCCTCCCTCCCCAAGGGAACGTTCAGGCTTGGGCTGAGGGCTCGGGGGGCTTCGGGGGCTGTGAGCCACGCTGGAGCCCTGCCATTCCTGGGGGATGCGCCCAGCTGGCACCCACAGCCACGCCACTGCTGCAATTCCCGGGGCGAGAGCCGTGCCGTCATGGATGCTCCCGGAGCAGAATCTGCTGGGTTTGGGAACCACCCAGAAAAATCATGGTGCTGGCGGAGCCCATTAGCGTGTAATTAACGGCAGGGCGACGACAGGCCTGCGTTCGCACCCTTTGCTACCCGTGCAGGTGAGTTAACACCGCAGTGGTCCTCCCGGGGGGGCTGCACCCGTGCCCCCATGCTGGTGTTGGTGCAGGCACCCACATCCCTCTGTGCTTTGCAGAAAGTAGCTGTCCATCGTGGAAATACGACCCCCAAGGGTAATTAGGTGAGGCTGATGAGGCCCTCCCAGCACCCCAGGGCCATCCCTGCCCACGCTGCCCATGCCTGTTGTGTTTCCAGCGTGGGGCGTGGAAAAGCCCTTCCCAGCGGTTCTTGCAGGGTTACAGGCTCATTTTATTAAACGCCGCCATGAGAAACTGCCAAGTTCCCTCCTCTAAACGTCTCCTGAGCCCAACCTGAGGGATAATTGTCTCCCCATTAGTTTTCATTAAGTTAAATGCGGGAGGAGGATCCGAACAACCAGGGGCTCCGGGCTGAGCACGGCGTGTACTCGCTGGCGTGAGGAGCGCAGCCCGTCGGGTTGGCTCTTGCCGCGGGAGCAGTCCAGCGGAAGGTGGTGTGGAGCAGCAGAGCCCGGGTGGCACGCAGCGTGTCATCCTCAGAGCTCCCCTCCGGGCTGGTGGGCACCGCCGGGTCTTCACCTCAGACTCCAGCCGCCCTGTCCTTGCCTCGGCTTCCACGGCTGTCGCTCATTAAAAGTTAATGCCGGGCTCCTGGTCCGTGCTGAGGTAACGCCATTCACCTGCTGACGAGCCTTGATAACTTATTGATGCCAGCCCAGATGTGCCGCCGTGACCCGTTGTCCTGCTCTCAGCGGGCCCATTCCAGCTCCCGCCGGAGGAACAAGCGGGTGAACCGCAGCATGCCTGGCACGCGTGGGCAGCCCACCGCAGGCGCGCGGCTATCCGTGGTAAGGGGCTGCTCAGCACAGGCTGCTTGGTCCACAGACCTTGTACACGCACCACAGCGGACCACCCGGAGCATCCGGCCCAGGCGCCGGCTCTGCACCCCTCCAGTTCCCCTCCTGGACCTCGGAGGGGCTCACCCAGCGCAGGGATCCGCTGCTCCTTCCAGTAGCGCGCACGTCCCGCTTCCCCCATCGCCGCAGGCGCCGTCAGCTGCGCCCTGAGCAAACCAGCAACGGGGTCTTGTGTGCCGGGGAACGGTCTCCTTGTCTCACACCGCTTCCGGATGCCTCTGGTAACCTGCTGACGCCTCGTTCCCGTGCTGGCTGTCCCACGTCTGGCTGCCTGGTTCCATTCCCCTGGATCTGCCCTCATCCATCCCTCCCTGTGCTCCTGGCTTTGTCTCTGCTCGGTCCTGGGGACAGCAGGACTCCAGCTTCACTTTCTCCTCCCACCCCATCCCAACAGAGATGGTTTTGATGGGATGTAAAGGGATTTTGTCTCGTTCCCATGCAGACCATCCTCAGACCCCCACACCTCCTAGAGGCACGCGAGGCGTTTCACCCCCCAACACCCTCTCTCCCCCAGCACCCTTCCGTAGGGAACCCGCTCCGCTCAGGAACGACGGATGGGTAACGCTGGAAGGGTGAGGGGACGTCAACAGCCCGAGGGCTTATCCGAGAGCCAACAGCCCAAGAAAGAACCACTAATGCAACAGCCAGCACGGGCATTATTAAAACATATTGCTAAATAACTGGGCACAAATCAGAGGCCTGATCAGATTTAGACCGACGAGCCGCATTAGGCACCCCTCGAGCAGGCAGAATTAACGTGATTTCGATCAACACGACACGTCCTCACTATTTCCCTGTCAAGGATTTCTCCAAACTGTTGAGGGATTCGTCGCTTTTAACTTCCAGCCGGCGCATCTCAACCGAACGGTGCAACTGCGGGTCTCAGATCTGACTGGGGAAAACCTGCTTCCCGCCGCCCGCGGAGTAGAGCTGTCGGATGGATTGCGCGGAACACGCAACTGGGTGTTCATCCAGATGGCCGGGGAAGATCACAGAGCGCAGCCTCTGACACGGAAGCGAGATG